GGAAAGAAAACTGGTTACAGGGGCACGTCCAGAGGGTGGTCATAAATAGTGTAACTTCCAAATGGTCTGTAGTTGTGAGTATGGTGCCCCAGGGCTCTGTTCTGGGACTAATTCTGTTTAACTTGTTCATAAACGATATAGAGGTTGGGATAAATAGTTTGATCCCAGTGTTTGCTGATGACACTAAACTAACCAGGGTAATAACCTCACAACAGGGTATTAAAAACTTTCAAGAAGGCCTTGATAAAATAGAGGGTTGTACAAACCATGGAAAATGAGATTATATGTTAGAAAATGTCAAGTAATGCACTTGGGGGGGGGCTAGAAATATATGCGTAAAATACACTCTAGGGGGAGAGGTTGGACAGGGATCTGGGAGTCCTAGTAGATGACAGACTCAGCAATAGCATGCGATGCCAAGCGGCAGCATGGAAGGTCAAAAGAATATTAGCATGCAGTAAAAAGGATTTTTTTTCAATAGATAAAACTATAATTCTACCACTTTACACAACTCTGGTTTGGCCACATCTTGAGAATGCCATCCATTTCTGGTCACCAGTCCTCAGGAAGGATGTGCTGGAGCTGGGGAGAGTCCAGAGAAGGGCAACAAAACTAATAAGGGGGCTGGATGATCTCGGTTAGGAGGAAAGGCTTGGTGGTGTCAGCGGGATGTGTTGAAAATTAAAAGAAAACTATTAGATGGGCATCTTAGAGAACACAGTATACAAGGATATGGGAAATGGTAGAGACATAATGCATACACACACCCACACAGGTTGAACTGGATGGACTGTTGTCTTTATTCAACCTTACCAACTACGTAAGTGTGAAAACAAACCTATTTTCCTGCTTTCAGGTTTGTTTCAGAAACTTCTGAATAAAATATAAATACATAATAGATACATTTTGATTAGCTGCTGTAAAGAGCTGCAGCTAATGCAATGAATGTATCGAATTTGGTTTACGTTTTAACAAGCACTGAGCAGAAACACACATGGCCTGATCTTAGCAAATGAATGCAGTTGGCATAATTGCGTGTCTGTATCCTAATGCAATTTAGAAAAGTTGGATATTGCCCATTTGATTGAGATTCCTATGTGCAGTTACATGAAGGGGTCTCTCACAACATCTCTTCCCAACCAGTTATTCTTTGCAGTACAATCAGAAATGAAGGTCAAACATTAAAACGAGAAACAGTTGAATTTTGCAAAGGCTGAAATTGTTTCAGGTTAGCTCAAACACAGGCAAATTATTTTTTTTCTTGGAAATCCCCTTTAAGACCTAATTGGTTTAAGCAGGTGACATTTTCTTTCCATTAGTCTTTGTACTGTATTCTTTTCCCATTTTTTGCATTCAGTGCTAAACTCCATAGAAACAGCTAAATACACAGATGAAATACATGTATGATAGATGTTCGACCAACTAAAGGATTTGTATTTCTGTCTATCCAGTTCTGAGATTTACACAGCTCTGCAACACAGCATAGCTATATCTGACAAGGCAAGAAATCCGATTTTAATCTGTTGAGTGTATTGTCCCCCCACTAGCCTGTGACTGGACAGTGAAAGGAGGAACAGCAGACTGATGACTTCATTTTTTAAAACTCTACTCTGTTGTCCTATTAGCATATTCCTTGTTAGCACATGAGCACCGAAGCACAACAGATTGACTCCGTATGCTTTGTCTCCCTCTTCGAATCTGAGGTCTTCTGTACAGGGAATTAGAATAGGCTGATCCAAAATCATATTTAGGGACTTACACTACTGCATTTTAACCTCCCTAGCGGTATGATTATGTCCATATTTCTGTGCTGAAAGTGGTACATTTTTTTGCATGGAAATATGTATTTTTTTTATTGTAGGCCTGTAATTTTTAGGAATAACTCACTGAAATCTGTCCGAACAAAAGTTTAGTAAACATCCCGGGTAGGATAAAACTTGAAACACAAAATCATAAATTATAATTTAATAAATAATCATATTAATAATAATATAATAATAATAATAATAGATTTAATTCAATAATATAATCAAACCAAAAACACTGAAATTTGAAATATAGCGGCAAGTTTGCACATCACTAAGCTTAGTCGCAAAATCATTTTCAGTGTCTGATGACGAATTTCCCCACAAATCATTATCACTCTATTCTGCAAGTGGTTCTGATTTACTATCGCTGTTCTCTAGTCGATCTAAAACCGCTTTTGACCAAAAGGGACGCCTTTTGGACGCCATGGACTTTTCTAAGTTTCCAGGCAGAAAGAACAGTCAAAATGCAGGCAGGGCACAGGACAAAGCAGTAGGGACAAAATGTATGTGAAATGGTTTGATACAGTAAATGTTTTACTATGTCAAATTCATTTCTAAGAAAATGACAGTTTCTAAAAATGTTAAAATTTGCTGCCGTTCCGGCCCCCGTACGTCCCGCCGCTCGCAGGGACCGGAACACGGAAGCCAGATGCCGGCATTGGCCGGAGGAGATGGCTGGGGACGCTGCAGGGCACACATCGTGGGAGCGAAGGACAAGGTAAGTGCTGCAGGGAATCCCTGAGCAACGCCGCATGGTAAGCCCGAATGTAGCTCGGGGTTACCACTTTTGGTACTGACATTTTATCCTGAGCTACACTCGGGAATACCGCTAAGGAGGTTAAACAAGAATGGAGTACATGGGAGGACACCACGGAGGAAGCCATTGCTGTCCAAAAAGAATATTGCAGCACGTTTGAAGTTTGCAAAAGAGCACCTGGATGTTCCACAGCACTACTGGCAACATATACTGTGGACAGATGAAACCAAGATTGAGTTGTTTGGGAATGGTAAGCCCGAGTGTAGCTCGGGGTTACCGCTTGTGGTTCTGAAACTTTACCCCGAGCTACACTCGGGAATACCGCCAGGGAGGTTAATAAATAAATTAAATGATTTATTAGTGAATACAGAGTTTTATTAATTTGTGTCTCTTATATCTGCCTGGAGATCAGCTTTCAGCAATACAATTCAGCAATAGTATATTTAAAGTAGAAGTAGGATACAAAGTGAGCACTTTTCATAAGCAGCTGTACACTCAAGGCAACCAACCTAAATCCTTAATCAAAGTAATGACAGATAGTGCAGCGCTAATAATGATGCGAAGTTATGTAGGATAAATAAAACAGCAATGAGTAATGACAAATGAGGTAAAATAAATTAATAAAAGTTAATATACCGGAAAAAGGGTGACAACTAGTCAAATACAGCTACTACAGGTGGATATATATATATATATATATATATATATATATATATATATATATATATATATGTGCAAAAATCCGTAAGGATAACTATATTAAGAAAGAAAGTCCCCTCATTTTCAGACCGATGCTTGTGCCTAGTATGAATAAGAGAAATGCGCACTCACCGGACGTGCACTATTAATGTGCAGTGTATATAATATCCTGGCGTCATCAGGCAGTCATCTGGGTCAGCGGATGAATAGCCCCCTCTCGGGATGGTTATGGTCCAGGGATGAAGGTATTAATGTTCCCGGAGTCACCAGAGTTCCCCTTTAGGGATAGATGGGTACTGCTCTCAGATGACAGGAGACTCCCTCTCTGGATGAACTGGGTACTGGGGCGTCTAGGGAAATAATAATCCTCCCCACATGGGGTCAGAACAGAAAGGTGCCCATAGTGTAGTATGTAAATTGAAGTTTATTAAATAAATAAAACAGGCAGGATGCATCCAAATATGAAAAACAGTCGAGAAGCGGTGAGAATAAACTGACCGTCACTGAAGGGAAATGGCCGCCGGAGCTCCACGATGCTCCGACAGCGTGACGTCAACGGCGCGAGCAGGCTCCTCCTTACGCGTTACGTGCCACGCACATCATCAGAGGGTGAGCTATTGGTCTGAAACTGAGGGGACTTTCTTTCTTAATATAGTTATCCCTACGGATTTTTGCACATATATAGATATATATATATCTATATATATATATCTATCCACCTGTAGTAGCTGTATATGACTAGTTGTCACCCTTTTTCTGGTATATTAACTTTTATTCCTTTATTTTACTTCATTTGTCATTACTCATTGCTGTTTTATTTATCCTACATAACTTAGCATCATTATTAGCGCTGCACTATCTGTCGTTACTCAGTACATTTAAAGTGTTTGTAAAACTCTGACTTGAAAAAATGAACAAAGCATATCCTTCTATAGTGTGTACTAGCCTCAGTCAAAGCAATCCATGTGATACCTACCTGATCTCTCTTCGCACTGTTATGTCCATGAAACACTTCTGACAGTCTAATTTGACTGCAAGCAATGCTAAGAAACACCCCCTGCCCCCCCCCCCCTTTTGGTGAACAGCAGGCAAATGACAGCCTCAGCTGTACATTTTTTTATTATGAGTGAGTGAAGAGTGGGGGTGTCCCTGGTCTCTGGTTATACTCAACTCTCCACTCATGCAGTGCAGTGTTTAATGCCAGATTCCAGCCCCCTGCTTTCTGGAGCTGAGAAAAAGTAATTGATCTTTGTGTATTAGAAGGCTGTACAGAAGAGAGGGCTGCAGATAAACAGGTGCAACTTATGTAGGAGAATTTGTTTAATCTCTGTGTATTACCTAAGGCTAGTCACTTCAGTGGGCATATGTTATTGTTTAGAACCACTTTATTATTATTATACAGGATTTATATAGCTCAAACAGTTTGCTCAGCGCTTTAGGATATAAGGGGAGACAATACAGAAACAATACAGTTCAATACAAGAGGGTTAGGAGGGCCCTGCTCTTTGGAGCTTACAATCTAAGAGACTTTAAGTAGAAAGTGCCATACAGTATGGACGCAATGGACAGTAATGTAAATGAATGTTAGCAAGTATAACCAATTAATTATGATTTATGAACAACAACATAATCCAATAATTTGTTGTCTGTGTTAATTTTTAAAATGTGATTTTTTTTTATATGCCTTTCCAGCAAATCTTTTTCATTGTTTTATATTTGCCATTTCTTTAATACAGGGAAGTTTTGCAGAAATAAAGGTCTACAAACTTGGGACATTTTCTGTCATATCATGTTTAAAGAAAGAAAATTTTACTGTTCCTAGGAAAGGATTATCTTTAAAGCTGAGCATGGATTCACGGATTTCTTTAAATTACCCCCCTGGCTGCCTCAGCTCCTCTGTAATTGTACAGTTTAAGGTATGTCTGTAGCTGTGCCTTTTTTTGTAAAATGCACTGCATCTGGAGCATAAATTGTGAGAGTTATTTCCCAAAACAGCAGTCCTTGAGACAGAAGTAGGAAAGACATTATTACAAGTTAGAATCATTATGATGTACCAGCAATGATAAGGACTCTTTGGGGGTATGTAATTCAGCATACTGACTTTTATGTAAGCACCTGGAATTTCAACATCTGCGGGTATTAAGACACCTAGGCTTAATGGATCTTCTAGATGAGCCAGGCTGTTTTTAGCTCTAAAAAACATAGATAATGTTCATGGAAATGTGACCTTTAGTAAGAAAAGTCCCATGGAGCAAAGAGAGGATGAATAAACTACTGTTTCTGTATTAAGGTAGGTATAATTTCAAAGACATATTGACTACAGGAAACAAATTATTCACCAGATAAATATTAGTATATATAGTATTTCATCAGGTAAGGAAATAATGTTTAATTTAGAAAAAGTAATTTTCAGTGAATATAGCTCCAAAAACTCAAAGTGTTTAAACTACAAAGTCTAACTGCAAAGTTAGAAAATATTTGTCCAAGTTCGAGTAATGTCACCCCTCATCTTCTGCAGAGCTACATCACATATACACTTCAGACTACTGTGGTCAGAAGAATGGCCATACATAAAGAGGTTATATAGAGGGACATCCATGATCTAGCAGAAAGGAGGGGAGAAGGAAGGGTTGGGGACACTGACCACCCTGCACTCCTAGCCAGCTTGGGTGATGGGTTTTCTCAATAGGAAATGCTGCCAGCTAGCTTGGGGCATTTTCTAATGAGTTAATGGCAAAATTAGCCAGAGACTACTTGAAAAAGTGCCTGAACAATACACTTGGATTACTTACTTTAACTTTAAAAAATACTGGACCACACTATTAAACTACTGTATAAACTTTGTATAAGCGTGTATTTGGCTATGCATTTAAGCTCCTGGGAAGTCCAGCCAAAACCTTTTTTCTAGTTTTCAGTATAATGGGAGAGGTTTCAATCCTCTGCCAATTTAAAACTGTCCATTATAGGGATCACTATCACTATCAATATTACCCCAAAAAGTAGGTAGAATTTGAATATTTTTCAGTTGTCACCAGTAAAGTCAAAGGTGAGATTTGCTCTGAGGATATTGCCATTTATTTCCTGTTGTACCTCTTGGGTAACCTCTGTACAGGGTACAAACTGTTTACCAAAGGCTTCCTACTTTTCAGTACAGTAAATTATCATGAAGTACATTGTTTCTAAAAGTATTCATATACACTATATTGCCAAACGTATTGGGACACCCCTCCAAATCATTGGATTCAGGTGTTCCAATCACCTCCATGTCAATGGGTGTATAAAATCAAGCACCTAGGCATGCAAACTGTTTCTACAAACATTTGTGAAAGAATGGGTCGCTTTAAGGAGTTCAATGGATTACAATGTGGCACCGTCATAGATTTCCACCTGTGAAATAAGTCCAATCCGTAAAATTTCCTTGCTACTAAATATTCCACGGTCAACTGTTAGTGGTATTATTAATAGACATCAGCATACCAAGACATTTTGAACAATTTCATGCTCCCAGCTTTGTGGGAAGAGTTTGGAGATGGTCCCTTCCTGTTCCAACATGACTGCACACCAGTGCACAAAGCAAGGTCCAGAAAGACATGGATGAGCGAGTTTGGGGTAGAGGAACTTGACTGGCCCACACAGAGTCCTGACATCAACCCGATAGAACACCTTTGGGATACATTAGAGCCGAGGCTGCAAGCCAGGCCTTCTCGTCCAACATCAGTGCCTGACCTAACAGGAAGAATGGTCAAATATTCTCACAGACACACCCCTAAACCTTGTGGACATCCTTCCCAGAAGAGTTGAGGCTGTTATAGCTGCAAAGGGTGGTACAACTCAATATTTAACCCTACAGTCTAAGACTGGGATGCCATTAAAATGCAGGTGCATGTAAAGGCAGGAGTCCCAATACTTTTGGCAATAGAGTGTATGTTAGATGTCCGATGTCTGTTTGGATTGCGTACAATTTGGCATACCTGGAAAGTTGCCATGTTTCACTTGGAGATGCCAGCTATTTGCTTACCTTGACATCTTTCCAGGCACCAGGCTCAATTCTCCATCTTTTTGTAGATTGGCATAAGTGATAGCAGCATCACTCCTGTCAGGCAGTGCAGGATAAAGTATAGCTGTTGTAGGGAGAGGTCTGTTCTCTCGTCCCTCCAATGGTGGCCTACAGTGGGTGGAAGAGCAGGAGTGTTCACCTCCTTCACAGTACAGGAGTCCACTTGGAAGGCAGGGCAGGCTACCCTTCTTCTTGTTTAGCTTTGCCATGTGACATATCACAATGATCAGAGATGGGAAGAAGGACAAGATGCCTTAATTCCTGGGTGGATGATGTGCTGAGAATGAGATCTATTAAAACACTGAGTACATGTAGGGTGGATGGAATAACCCTCTACCCATTAAAGCAGCAAACAGCCACTTAGCCACTCTACCTACAGTACATCAGAGCTCTTTAGTCCCCTACCCTCCCTTAGAGCCAGACAGGGTCCCTTATTAAGTCCATCTAAATGTGTTAGTGCATCTAACACTACCCACTCTCCAGACTGACATTGTTGCCCTGCAAGAGTTTCTATATTGCCCCTTTATCTAGGGGCATTCAAAACTAATTTAGCCACTACATTTAAGAGTTGGTAAGCTACAATATATTACATTTTTGTTTTTGGATTTAATACTGTTTAATGCTAGAGTGTTCATGAGAGTGTTAATGAAATAAACTAGTACATCAGCACTTTAAAAAGTAGAAACAATATTTTTTTCAGGATTTCCATGAAAGTAATCATATACTGTATGATTAGTTTTATATGATTAGTTTTATGTTTTTGTAAAATTTTTTATATTTTTATTCTTATCCTACAGGTTCAGCCTATCGATACTTCACTTATTTCTCTACTCAAGGTGAAACATGATATATACCATCCAGTGGTATCTAGTAGTCCACTCATCCACATGAAGCAGCCATCAACTCAGGTGTTCCACAAGCCAGTTACAGTTTTCCTACCATGTCCTCCAAACCCAGAGAAAAAAAGGGGTGGAGATGATTCAGATAAAAGAGCTTCAAGTGCTGCAGCTTCAAAAGTCACAGGAAGCCATCAGATTAGGTAACAAATGAAAAACATACTGTACGTCAGATAAAAATAACATTTACCAATCTAAGTACCATTGTTACAAACACACACCAGTCCATAAACACTCGACTCTACCATATTAGTGTGCTCTATTTTTCAGAATGCAGACTGTCTGTACAGTGACCGGTATCCAGCTCACAGGTCTCTGCTGTAATGGTATGTGTTTTTTGGTGCCCCCTCCCAAAAAAAAATTTAAAGTCAACAGCTACAAATACTGTAGCTGCCGACTTTTAATATTAGGATACTTACCTGTCCAGGGATCCAGCAGTGTCCTTACCCTGAGCTGTTTCTTCAATCATCTGTTGGTGCTGGTGCCACCATCTCTACTAAGGGAAACTGGCAGTGAAGCCTTGTGGCTTCACAGCCGGTTTCATACTGTACATGTGCGAAGCCCGCTGCACTTTGTTAGTGGACCACAGTCCCTTGGGACCTGTGAAGCGTATCAACTTCCGACTCAGTTTGCTGCATTGGGGGGGGTGGCGGGGCACTTTTTGGTGGAAATACGCTATAATTATATTTACCATTGTTTGACTATACAGAGGATATGCATCATCCACATGCTGGTAACTGTGTTTAGGGGTATATGACTCTTGAGATTATACAAACACAAATGGAGTGAATTTTGCCTAAAAAAATAGCGTACATATTTATACGGCTATGAAAAATGGAGCCGCACTCATGCAGTCACAAAATTTACAAAAATTGTCGGTGCAGTGCCTTTATTCATATCAGCATGTGTTGCATTGAGTGTGGATGTGATTTTTGGCAACCGGCTGACTGCAATGCAGGAGGACAATTTGGATGGCTTGATGTGACAAGGCTTCTGAATTTCTCTTTACTATATACATATAATTATGTGGTCTACATCGGGCTGTGTCTGTTGCCCAATGTAGAAATGGGTCCACTGTGACCCTGAAATGTTGAGTGCTGGATCTTTCTCCTTTATAATACCACTGTTAGCCATGTACTCCTAACAGCAAATCGCTGGAAATAAGGGTTTGGTGTGGGATAGATTTGTTATAAAACAATAAAATGATGGTGTTCTAATCCCTCTCCACTCTATCTAAAACTAAAAATAAAAGTTTTGCCTTCAGTTATATTTTAATGTGAAGGACAAAAATATAGGTGATGACAGGACAGAAATATGGGAGCTGCTACAGTATTACTGTAGTGGTTTTGAAAGGTGATGGCTGTTATCCTCATCCTAACTTTACTACCTAGTCAGTTATCTGAAAAAATATGCAAGGTATCTCAAGGTCTTCAGACATGATCATCTTGTATGCTTGATCCAGCATGTATTCTTGAGCCTGGTCAATGACTTACTAAGTAGGGAATCAAGAATCAGAACGATAATTCCTGGTCCTGCCTCTTGAAAATATAGTTCGCCAATGCCACCTCTACTTGTCTATCCTTACAGGTTTATTTTAAAACTACTCTTCTAAGTGGTAATGTGTCAGCGGAATGTTTTTGATAGTTTTGAATATACTGTATACTTATACTGTATATACATCTAAAAAGTCACTGAAAGTGGAGTTCCAGCCATTTTATTGTTTATTAAAAGTCAGCACTTACCTGTCCCAGGATCCAGCGATGTTCTCACCCACGCAGTCCCTTCTCCCCTTCTCTCTGCCACGGCGCCGGCATCTCAACTGTGGGCACCATGCTGTGACAGCTTGTGGCTTCACAGCCTGGTGCCCAGTGGACATGTGCGAGTCACACTGTGCCTCCTAATTGGTCCAGCAGTCTCCTGGGACCTGTGTTCCCAGCAGACTGTGGGAGGAGGAGGCCATACATCCGGCTCACTTTGCTGTGGCGAACTGAGCTGGAAGTGGGAACGGGTACCTGTCAAAAACAGGTAACCGCTCCCCACAAAATTTGCCAAATATGGCAGTGGAGTGGGGGGGAGAAGGTAAACTAGTGGAGCTTCCACTTTTGAGTGAAACTCCGCTTTAAGCAATCCATCAAAAGATTTACCTGCATAATTGATTTATATTTCTGTCTATGCAGTCCTAAGTAGAGATGAAGTTCGGATTTGCTGTTACCATGGGTTTTTAACCTTAATGCACCGCACAGCCTTTGAACCATAGCCAGCAGACTTCGAAGGGTCAGTAAGAATGCTGTTGCATGGGACAGTCAACTCATTATAAAGGTGGTGGTGGTGGGGAGGAGCACAAAGAAGCTAAGTGTTGCAGCTGCTTTAGGGAAAGGGAGGGAGAGATGATAAACTACACAGGAAGAGATTAGGGTCAGTTATGAAACTGCTTTAATTCTGACTAATAACTCTTTGGGCAATCAATCATTTGTTGCCTTTTTGTTTGTACTTTTTTTATTATGTACCCAGAAAGCAGTATTTATTTATTTGTTTGTTTATTTATTTTTGCTGGAGAGTGGTATTTTGGATTTTTTACGTTGATAGTTACTTTTTTGTACGTTTTAGGTTTGTTGATGACCATCTGTTCTTGCGGCTGCCTTTACTTTGCACAATGCTGCATCCTGTATGCACTTAAACTACCCCAAATAACATCATCATAGTAAACATAAAAGTTAGGAACTTACTGGGTAGGCCTATCGGCTGTAATTTGAACTGTCCTGCCGCTGGCAAATTTTTTCATTGCTGTTTTATTTGGGGTCTCTTAAATCTTGTAGTAAACCACCTACCTGTACTCCCCAGGACTCTGTGTCTCTAATATACTGTAATTTTGTCCTAGTCCTGCTTATTAAAACTGTCATTCTGCTCATTCATTTTACACTTTTGTCTCATCTGCAGTAACTTCATTATTGTAGTAAAACACCTGCCTGTGCTCTTTTTCACTTGTACATTTGGGTTTAGTCTTACTCGCTAAATTATCATGCTGATGACCATTTTACATAGCTGTATAATCTGTGGTCTGTTTATTCATGTAGTTAAATGCCTGCCTGTACTCTGTGTCTGTAGTACATTTCAAACCAGAGGCGGACTGACAACTCACGGGGCCCCCGGGCAATAGGGGATCATGGGGCCCCTGTGTCCTTGCGCAAACTCAAAAAAGCCTATGAAAAAGGTACATGGGGCATCTCATGGGGCCCCCTACTGACCCCGGGCCCTCGGGCAGAGCCCGAGTTTCCAAATGGTCAGTCCGCCCCTGTTTCAAACAATTCTTCTTCATTAAAATGATCTTGCTGCTGGCCAATTTTACACAGGTGTATCATATGTGGTCACTTAATTCTTCAATTTAGCTGTATATTTCTTACTATTACCATAATGTACCATCAAAGAACGACCAAAATTGTGTGGTGATTCCCCAGCACAAACACAGGTACATGTATATGCAGGCCCATAGGTAAAGACCCACTTCAGTGAGACCGTATGTATGCATATGATTGACGGGAAAGGGTTAGATTGCAATTGTGGCTTGGAGGCACCATTTATTAAAGCAGAACTAAATCCATTGATTTACCTCCCTAAGCAGTGACATAACTAGAAAAGGTTGCTTGTGCTTTCAAAAAAATGGCTGATGTCATTACTGATCATATGTGCAGCACCATGGCAACTGCAGATCAAACTGAGATGGCAGTTTCTTTGGGTGTAAAGGATTGGAGGGTCTAGCTATATTTTAACTCTTTTGCTGCTAGGCCCTACGTGCCACTTTTAAGCACTTCCAGACCGGATACTTTTACCCCCTTCCTGACCAGGGCAATTTTCAGCTTTCAGCGCTATCACAATTTGAATGACAATTGCGCAGTCATGCAACATTGTACCCAAATGAATTTTTTACAATTTTTTTGAGACAGATAAAGCTTTATTTCGGTGGTATTTATTCACCGCTGGGATTTTTTTTATTTTTTTGCTATGTAAATTAAAAAGTCCAAAAATTTTTTAAAAAAGTGTTTTTTTTTATAAAATTTTGCAAATAAATAATATTTCATCATAAATCTTTTCCAAAATGTATTCCGTTATCTTTTTAGTAAAAAAAAATCCAAATTAGTTTATAACCAAAAATTATAATTTTTACATTTTTATTTTATTTTTTTATATTATTTTTTTTTTTTTTTTACATACTGTCACCCTAGCAGTACAGTGTCACCATGGTGACACTGTACTACTTGTGGGGGGTGATGAAGATTTTTTTTTTTTTTTTTTACAGATTGCTTTTACACCCATATAGGATGTAAAAGTAATAATTTCTCTTTCTCTCTGTCTGCATTCTTGCACTCATTGACATCTTGCTTACTACTTTGCATGTGATCACTGATTGGCCTTACAGAGGTCCCATCCGACGATCGGTGTTTCACTGTGTCCGGAGGACACAGCGGGCACCGGATCGTGGTGCTGCACGCTCCCAGGGAGCGCGCACAAGCAGGGTGCGGGGAGGCCGTTTATAAACGGCCACCCGACCCTGCACCGCCACCATCCGGCCGTTTATATGCAACGGACGGTCGGGAAGTGGTTAAATTCAGATGGCCAGATGATTTTTGCCATTTTTCCATTGCTTTTTTTATTTTTCTCTTACAGATTTCAGAGTTTGTAAAAAGCCCTTGATCAGAAGAATAAAAAGGTGCCACTGATTTTTAAGGCCCCATGATATTTGCACAAACGTTTATCAAAACAATATTTTTGGTAAAAATACAGTAAAATATTAACCTCTTGACAACCAACCACATAACGCATATGTGCTGTAGCGGTTGGGCCTTAATGGCAACACCCGACATGTGTCCATGGGGACCAAGGTTTCTGTGCTGAGAGTGTGCTCCAAGCGCAGTGACCAGGCTGTTACAGACAGCTCCCGGTCTCTGTTCATAAGCAGGAGCCAACAAGATGGGCTCCCAATCGTGTAACTACTTTGATCGGGAGGTCTGTCCTGCCTCCTGACCTTAAGACTACTTAACACTCTGACAGCAGTCATCAGGAAGCAGTAACAGAAAACAAAAAAGTAAGGTGTTGACATGTGGCCACACCTCTCTAATGACTAGTATGTT